CGGTGTTGTCAACTCTTGACCAGCAGAAGAATAGTTGATCGGCAGCGTCTACGAGTCTAACCGACCAACAAAGTCAAACGACTCATCTACCCACCTAAGCACTTACCCAAGCCCCACAAACCTAGTTGATTGGCAAAAACTATTAAGACCGGCCAACCAGCAACGCTTTCACAAGTCTTGTCAGTCCATCCAGTCGAGCCCTATAACTATCACTCTCTGGGCCTCATATATGTAAAATACATGTAATAGCCTATACAATCCCACTAAAACAAGGAGACATGTGTAAATTCACACACTGAATCTTCTTTCTCTATAAATTGAAGATCATTCTATAAATAAAGGTTTACACGACTCTTTTAAAACTATTGTTCCTTATTATGCATTTCACTTTGTCTCCACCATCATTCTCTCTACTGTCTTATGTTCTATTCTTTAGGTGCAATTTACAGGCAAAAATCGAGAGTCGATGTTTATATATAGTCACCACGAGTTTTATAGGTTTTAGTATATCTTGAAAGCTATGCAATTAAGTTCTTTTCAAACTTAAAAATACATTATAATAAATAAAAGCACGGACCAGGTCTTACTAAAGCACTAGAGCATATACGTTTTGCATGCGTTCCAAAGGTTAATGCCACTTAAGTACCTCATTTAACCTTTTATAGAATAATTAGAATATCCGGAGTTTAAATTTCATTTACGACATCTTTTATTTCTAAAAAATAAAGATTTATTTCTTAATCATGAGTCCTAAATTTAAAAAATATATTATTCTTGCATGTGGTCTCATCTCCTTTAATCACTGGAAAAAATATTACATCAGGACTCCACACGTAGAGTTATGTGCGGAGTCCAATGAAATTACGTCGTGGAGGTGATCGGCCCGGTAACACTAGGGATAGGGAATATTTCCCTCGTGTTAGGGAATATTTCCCTCGTGTTATTCAGGTATTATTGTATTCTGGAAATATTACCGATGTTATAATAACACAATAACACATTAATAATATTTGAACAAAACACAATAACACTTGAATAACACGAGAGGAATATTCTCTTGTGTTACATGGCCGATCACCTCCACGGCGTAATTTCATTAGACTCCACACGTAGCTCTACGTGCAGAGACCTGATGTAATATTTTTTTTTTGTAATCAATGGGTCACTAATTGTTTTACTTGAAAAAAGAGGGTCATTTACACACATACCATCCAATTCCTATCTATTTACATATTTAACCACAATGCTTCTCATTTTACATTTATACCGCCCAAATCTTTCTTATCACATCAACAATTTGATAATTTTAACTTTCAAAAAGTGCAATACACCTATCATGCATAGTTTATGATGGTATGTATTTAAAAATAGGAGGTTAGATGTTAAAAAGGTAAATATATTGGAATTAAGTGGTATGTATGTAAATATTCCAAAAAAGAAAAATTGGAATATGAACAAAGGAATCATATATAAATTTAGGATATTCAAACGTTTTATGCCACGTGCATATGACTAAAAATCTGCATCAAACATTAAGAAATTTATTAATTAAGTGCTAATAATGCTATGTTTTTCATCCAACATCATCCATTTGCATGCTTCCGTCTAGGGCACTTTAAAAAACAATAATAATAGCATTAGGTCAACTTTGTGTATCGAAATTAGCACCTAACTTAGATCCAAGAGGTTAGGGTTTTACTTTAATTAGTGTCTTAATTACAACTCAGGAAACATACTAACACGTTTGACAAAATGATCATTATCACCTTAATTAGGACTATATTAATTGAGCCAAGCCATCTTAATCCTTCTGATTTAGATGCTTTAATTTATGCAATGGATAGAGTACAGATTAACATTAAACAAAAATCATGTCTTTGTTGTGAGAATGTCGCCGGTGGCTTATTTTGATCTGTAATTAATGAGTTTTTTTTTTTTTTAGAGTTTTGTATTTGTATACATTAGAACTGTCGGCACGAATCTCAAATAAAACGGACGACCGTGGGTAGAAAGCTTCGCTCAAAGGTAAGTGATTGATCGGTAATTCAACGCCAAGCATGAGAAGCTGTGTCTCTAAACTCGGAATAGGTCAGATCTCTAGAGATGTTTTCCCGCTCAATGACGACGAGAACCGCTAAGAGTGAAGCGCAAATCATTTTGGCAGTGAGTCTCGTCGGATATCCCACATAAGTAGTGACAAGATCTGCCCAAGACCTTGCAAAAGAAAATATTCGGTCGAGGCGACGCACCGACCGGACAGACAAAGATGCAGGTCATGTAAGACTTGAGCTAAATGACAAACCAGTCACGACTCACACGATGAAATAAATCAACCCGCCAACTGACCGACCCACCAGAGAATAAGAGAGAGTCCTCGACCATGACTAATCGGCCGACCAACAGAAGTCAAGGTCGTCACTCTGATGATCATCTCAACCTATCAAAGTGAAGCAAGTCAGTTGGTCGATTACCGTCATGTTAGAATTCAAATTATAATACACATTAAGAGCCATAACTATTCACTCCTTTCTGCAACTATACAAAATATGTTCATATAAAAAAAGAGATAAAAGAACGACGAAAGGGGAGGGAAGTCATTTGAACTCTCCCCTAGTTCCCTCAACTGTAAAGTTTTGACAATTCTACTTTCTTTTCTCTCATTTGCTCTATTCTAACTCTTGAGGCATTTTCACAAAAAGATAATTTAAAATTCATCATCCTAAAAGGTGATGTGGTGAGCGTGAACATGCCCGAGATGTTGGAAGTTAGAAATCTAAAGCCAAAAATAGTCGGAACAGCTTTGATGTGAAGGGTCTTAAGAAAGCAATTCATGTATGACCTAAATCTGTTTAAACCTACTACTTTTGTAGAAGTATTGGAGATAGAAAACGAGCACATACTTGCCAAAGAAGACTTTCAAGGCTTTCTGAAAGGTAAGCAGGGTTTGCCCAACCATTTGTCAAAGAAGCAGAAAGAACGAGGTAAAGCGCGAAAGGCAAATGACAATTAGACCTTCGCTGGTCGCCAGAACAACAATTCTAGGTCTCGGGATCATCAGACCGAAAGCAACACCCTGATCAATTGTCAGTTCAATATTATGAGCGATCGCATGTTTACAGATAAATACAAGGTTTGACACCCCTCAATGTGTCAATGGTCGAAATAGTCCAAGTCATCCACCAAAACAACAACTCTAGGTCTCTTGATATCGATGTTTTGTTAAGCAAGTTTGAGCACTTGCCACTTGGAAGATGAAGATTAAGGTGATCATTGCAGGAAGACTCAAGTAGATGTGTCATCAAGTTCAGAAGAATTCTAATAGTATAGGATAGTTAATGATTCTTTTTTTTATTTTCAATATATTAGATTGCTATTAAAGCCTCGAGGATAGTAAATTTAAAATCAGAACTAATCGTGTTCTTAAAATGACAAGAGTATAGAACACAAAATCAAATTATATGTCTTTGCTCACACTAGTAAGAGTATATTTTATAATACATAAAAATACAATAAAATGTATGTTTTTATATAAAATATTTCTAAATTTTATTGAGATTAGCTCTAAGAAATTCTAGTGTCATTTTCTTTAAAATTGATATTACACTAGAAATAGTAGACTCTCAATAATTGCATGCACACAAGCACATGGCTACTCACCAACACAAGTTCATCTATGCATCCACACATTAGCACTCATTATTTGTTATACATCCCTAAGCTCATATCATAGATGAGTACGTTAGCATCCGCATTGTTTGTATCAGTTTTTGTAGGATAAAGTATTGCGTCTGGAGTTCAGACGACTGCTACGTCCTGACAACGGATGCGATATACTGATCGTCTGAGATTTTTCTCTTCCCCGCGACCACACGCAATAATTTTTCCTTCCAAAGGCATATATATTCTAATGTCCGATTAATTAAGATAACTTGTGATATATGGAGGTGAGGAATCGTGGGAAATCAGCGGACTCGTTTCAGGGATTGTAATTTGCATGGCGGCAAGTACAGCTGGGAGAATTGGACCCCACTAGAGAATTTAGGCATGCATGGAAGAAGAAGGGCCCCACCCAACATGCCCTCCTAGCCCCGCCCATGTGCCTGCTGGCCCACGGCAGCCCAAATGGATTTTTTTTTTCTTTTTTAAGCAAAAATAAAATCTTAAGTGATTAAAAAAATTATAAAAATGTCACACAATTTTATTTTCATGATATGTGTGATATCTTTTTTTTATTTGCAGTTATCATATTTAAAAAAAAAAAAATCTCACCTTTAAAAAATTAGTAATAACGATATTTTTTTTATTTAATATTAAAAATAAGGGTGTTGTAAATCTAAGAAAAATTAAAATTTAAGAAGCTAATATATAAATAGGGCTGTCAAAATGGCTTGTTGTTCGCGAACAGCTCGTGTTCGGCTCTTTCACTGAGTTAACGAATGTTTGTACTCTTCGTGTTTCGCTCTTTTTGGCTTGAAATACTACTAATCAATTATAGATATATATCTTTGATGAGTAATCTTTTTTTAAAATTTATTTGACTATAAAACTACAAAGATTCATAATCAATTAAAATTATTAATGAAGGAAATAGATTTAAAACTATTAAATTAGATTCAAATGATGTTTTAAATCTTGTCTCAATTGTTAACATTCTGATGGCTACATGATTAGGGTTGTCAAAATGATTTTATGTTCATGAACGGCTCGTGTTCGGCTCGCTAAGCAAATGAGTCAAACACAAACATGCTTTTTGAACTCGAAATATAAACGAGCCTCTGGGCTCGCTTGAAGACCCCTATATATTAACACATAGCTACTGTGTGGTACATATATAAATGAACAAAAAAAAAATGTAAGATAATTATATTCATAATACACGAAATTTTATTAGTTCTAAAATTAATGTCTTCTACCAATTTTTTTATTCTTACCTAAATATCGAAATTCACGATAAAATTTTAGAACTTTTTGTTTTAATTGTGACTTTCAGTATAAATATGACGATATCAACGGTGAAGGAAGCAAACTCATCAGCTCGTAGCTCGTGCTCTTTTTAGAGATAGAGAGAGAATAGTTTGGGAATGCTCTTTGGGAAAGCAGGGACATTCCAGGAAGAATCGATCCAATAAAAAATGGAGAGGGATTTTCTTGGAGTAGTTGGGCGAAATTACAGGGCTTTAGCGATGGAGGAGACCTATGGCGGCCGCTTGGATTCAGGTGTAGTTTTTTTTTTTTTTTTTTTTGAAAATGAAATAAAAAACTCTTCTTCTCACTTATTTTGAGCTAAAAATCGAATTTTGTTTAATAAAGTTGGTTTTTTTTTAATCTCTTCATTTCCTGTTTTCGTTCTTCGGTTTGTATAGAATTAATGTATCTCCCCTTTTCTGTATAAATTGTAGATTTATAACTTTGTTGCAGCTTTAGATGATTATCTTCCTAATGTTTCTACTGTTTTTAGGATGTTCTGCCAGTAATTTATATATGAGCGGGATCATTCATCTTACTCAGCTTTTTTTTTTTTTTTTTTGGATTTCAGCCTTTTCAGTTAATATGGCTGTTCACTGGCCCTTTATGAATAAGGCTTCTGCAATGCAAAAATTTAAGTCATTTGAGGCTTTAGGAGAAGAAGACAGGCTCAAAAAACTAGTTTTTGAACCTCCATCCTCAACTGGATTACAGCCTGCTACTTCAATCGATGCTTTTGAGGCTGGTAATGCTGCAACTTCTGCTGTAAAAGCTTCTGAGGTTTGGCTGCCATGATTCTTTGATTCATTGCAAGTCTGAAAAGTGTTTGTAATTCAGATTTTAAGCTCTGAAGCTGGTATTTTTTTCATCTTTTTTGACCAATTTTAGAAATTAATTGGCATGGAAATCCATGGACTCCAACAATTCTCCATCCCTTCTTCCCAAAATGAAGCTGCAGACACCCACCATGCTTCTACTCAACGCTACAACAATGCTAGTTTTACAGCAATGTCTCATTCTCCCTCTCCCATCACCATTGCCATGACCACTCCTTTCATGAAGTCTCATAGTTCTTCAAATCTCACAGCCACAGAAGTAAAGCAACAACCTTTAGGATCAATAATGGCAACCAATCCCTCTATAGTAACTAATGGAGGTGGTTCCTTCACACCAAGGTAGTATATTTGCATTATGTTTTTAAAGAATCTCTTGTTTTTGACTTTCATGAAATGAATTCACATTTTTTTTCTTCAGGAATGTGTCCAAGCTTCATATGAAAACGGCCCCGCTCACTATATTCTACGCCGGATCGGTGAATGTGTATGATGATGTTCCATCCCATATGGTATTAATTTCTCTTAGACTAAATTGTGATTGTTATAACTTGAATTCTATGATTTCATACCAAAAGCTTAAACTGTGTTTGCTCATTAGGCTCAAACAATCATGCTTATGGCAAGTAAAGAGTGTAAAAATGCTATAAACGCCGCCGACGATAAGACGGAAATGAAGAGCGAGCACGTGAAGGCTACTAATGCTTGTATGGTGGGAGTCCCTGCCTCTGCCACTATAATGCCAAGAGGTTTATAATTCATCCTGTCACCGAAACTTGTTTTGCATGTTTTTAGCAGGATATATTTTCTTTCCATATATTGTTTGAACACTTATGATTGATTCGTCTATGCAGCTGTACCGCAGGCTCGAAAGGCTTCTCTGGCTCGATTTTTAGAGAAAAGGAGGGAGAGGTATATATTTTGTGTGAATCAACACTGCTCTGTTGTTTAGCATGGTGGATTCTTATGTAAATTTCTTAGTTGATGGAAAAGATGTTCTTGAATTTTACAAATGTTGATTTTGTTAAGAAACAGAGAGGAGTTTGATTCTAAATAGCACTTTTTGATAATTTTATGAAAATTAGTATCTGAGCTAGTATGAAACTATTTTTTAGCTGGAAGATTTACATGCATACTGCTCAACTTCTATGTATTTACTTATCAAACACTGAAACTTCAATTTTTACATTCAGACTGCCGTATCTATATGCATGAGAAGGAGCATTTCACTTTAAAAAGGTTAAAATGATGGTATTTTGGGAGTGATATGAAAATTTTGGGTGATTTAAATGTTAAAAAGCAAAATTTAGGCGTTAGATATGTGAATGCACAAGAATTGGGTGGTATGTATGTAAATGCCCTCTTTCTACTAATGATATTGAACTGTAATCATGGTATCTTCATCTCTATTGTTGTTGAACCCTATTTTGTAAAATCATGTTTCAGATCATCCAATCATTCTATGAAAATAAGTTTTAAATGAAAAATCTTACTTGAATATGTGTATTTTAAATGACAATCTCCATATTTTTCATCTTACAGAATAAGCAACACGATACCTTACTCATGCGAGAAAAAGAGCCCAAATAGCTCCGTTGTGCTCGAGAGCGCTCCTCCATCGAGCAAATGCTCGTCCCCTGATGCGTCGATCTCGAGCAACAGATGTGGTTCATGGTATGTGAACCAAACCAAGAGCTGCAGCGACAGTGATGAATTCCCCAGCACTAAATTAGAGATGTAAGCATGATTTCCAATTGAAGAGCTTATCTAATTCTGCAAATGTAGCCAGTTTCATTTAATTCTGAATAATGTAGCACATCCTTATTTGATGTTGATTAAGCGGGTTATATATGTAATAATGATTAGAATGGTATTTCTTCTGGCTTTTGCAAGAAGAGAACTTTCGTATAGCAATATATGTATTAGTTCGATGGTGCACTTGAGACAATTTCATGCTGCATGAGTTGAATGTCTGGTTAGATGGATAGTGTTGAGAAAACTCAGAGCTGCTATGGATGATTCATACCCAATATCTATATGTTCTCCAACAACTTTTTCTGTGCTGATGAAATTATGCAACCTTTTTGGGTAATTTTAGCAGAAGGAGGCTATAGAGCTTTGATATTTAATGGGATCAGCTTTTTTAGGACTTTAAGGTAATGGGTAAATTTGCATGGTATTCTTAGCATAAGAAGGTGGATTAGGGGTGTCATTAATTATGATTTGCTTTGACTCTGTGATGTGAATAAACAATTGAACAAAAAGGCTACGTTTGTAATAGAGACCATATTTCAATATTTTTTTTTTAAATGAATCATAAAAAAATCAATATAAAATGGTTATAATAAATAGTATTTATTTAATTATTTAATTAATTCAATTCATATATACTTAAACAAATGTTTGTTTATGTTCAGCTCATTTATAAACCAAACACAATAATTATTCGTGTTCGGCTCACTTATTTAACAAATGAATCAATTACAATTTACTTGAAGAATCGTATGCTAACTGTTTACGATAAAACAACTTATTTGACATCCCTCATTGCAAGGGAATTGATTGTCTAAACATAAATAGACATTTATCCCTTATGCAAGCAATATTTGTTGATTATCGTTCATAAATCAATGCACAATTAGTCCTAGGGGGTTTAATTCGACCCCTAATGCATGGGTGAAAGTTATTGAGCCATATTATAACTTATAACATATGTTGAGTAAAAGAAATATTTGACTTTTTTTTGTGATGAACTCAGGTTATCGAGTGAATAAGTAATGAATAACATAAGATGGATCAAAATATATTCATTGTTTATGAGTCAGTAGGGTCATGCTTTGATCAAAAAGCTAAAATAGACCAAAAATCTGAGGTCAATTATATCTTTGTCCCACATCACAAACCATACAACTATACAAGTCTTCTTGCTGATGATACCAAGCATGTCAGACAAAAAAACTCATTTTAACCAGTTCGAGAATATTCAAGAAACGAATTTATTGAGAAAAACTATATGAAATTTTATAAGATCCCTACACATATTGAGGAATGTCTTCAATACTTTTTTATCCATGCTTAATTCATAAAAAGAAACTAGAGATATAAACATTATATTCACATAAATACATGAACAAAAAAATATACATAAAATTAAATTGATAAGTTTTTTGTCGATGTAAATTTAAAGAAAAGGCATGATAAAAATTTCAGGGAAAATCTGGCAGAGAAGCACAACAAAAGCCTATTTAATATGCATAAAGATTCACATTATAAGGACCGGTAGCAAGCACCTTGGACCTTGTTAGAATGTCATGTTGAAGAATAATATAGGATATTTTAGGTATTTTACAATTACAAGTTTATGGCTCGACTACCCTACTACTCAGTCGAAGAAGAGCAGCAGACTTTGATTCGGCGAGGTCTGGTTGTCCGACTGTTCTAAGTTGGGATTGTAGGTCGACTTCTAATAGTCTTCGATTCAATATGTATTTCTGATTCAGCGAGGTCTGGTTGTCAGACTTCGATTCGTATTTTAATTTGTTGAATCTCCTCGAGATTAGTGCTGATGTATTTCTGATGCACAATCTCTTATGATATCATGAGGTAGGAATCAATATGTTAATCAGGCCACCAAAATTACAAGGGGTGTGTTATTCTTAATTAAGAAACTGGTTATTAGTTATTGAAGGAAGTGTTTATTAAATATTAGACATATTTGTCATAAAAGGCACAACTAATTATCGGGTGTTATAACATTCATGATAACAGAGAGAGATTAAAGTTTTAGCCTTTTATAAAGATTCAACATTCATAAAACAAATTTATAAAATACACCGAGGTTTTTACGTGAGAAACTCGAAAAGAACATTCTCGGGGTTTAATTCAATTGAAATATCTCGCTATATAAGGAAATTTATATTAATGTACACTTCCTGTTCAATTAAACAAAATGAGATTAAAAGGATTGGAACACTGGTTTTGTCTTATTACTAGTAGAAATTATTGAAAAATAAGCTGAGAAATTAGCCAAGTATGATGACAATCAAATTAAGATGGCCGAGCAATAACAATTAGAAGATGAATTTAATTTAATGCCATGGAATTGAATGCCACATCCATGGGTCCATACCCACAAACACTTCATGAATGTGCATAAAATCTAATAAATAAACGTCCATTTGATGATAGAATTTTCTGATAAAAATTTTATTGAGCATATAAATAATGATTTAAGATGCATTTTTTCAGTAGGATTGTTGAGTATAATTAATTTCATTTTCTAAAATAAAATTATAAAATAATTAATAGTATTAATATAAACAAAGACTGAAGGTGATATAAATCAATTTTTTATATATAAATAAATATATTTGCATGCCCGAAAATTCTCTTTCAATTTCTCCTTACAAAAAATGAGTAATAAAATAATTTATTTTACAGAAATTATGTTAAAAAAAATAAATAAATACATAAAAAACTGCGTCTGATTATTGGTTTACTTTTACACTATTTTGGTGAGCTTGATTCTATTGCAGTCTTAAAAGACTGCTAATTTAAATTTGTTCCACCAAGCCAGCCTTAAATTGCACAAACAATTTCATATCGGCAAATTAATAATAAAAAGGGGCATTTACATGCATGCCACTCAATTCCAAGGTATTTATACATCAAACACCTAAACTTTTCTCTTTTTTTTTACATTTATGCCACCCAGTCTTCCATACCGCATCAAAAATACCAAAATTTTTATTTTTTAAAGTGAATTACATATTCTCATGAAACGATAAAATGATATATACGGTAAAATTAAAGTTGACTAAAATATTGCATATCAAACCCGGTTAAAGTCAAAGACAATGAGAGCTCACCATCTTGAGCAAGTTCAGCACAACAGGTAGAAAAAAACATTCAAACCAGATCAAAAAATCTCATCATGTTCATAAGCTCACATTGCTAAACTCCAACGAAAACTATCAAGTTTCACATAATTTCCAATTAACCATGATTTGAAAAGTTCAGAAAAATACTAACTGGATCGGAGAACAATCAATCAATGGCGAGGAAAGCCGCGATGATCGTAGTGCAACCAAGAACCAGAATCATAGACTCCCTTCTCACCTCCATAAGCTCCAGTAGGACCTGCCAGAGAAATATTCAACAATGAGAGAATTTACAAATTTACACAAATCAGTAGAATGAGATATCAAAGAAGACTGGTACCAGATCCCCTCGCTCTGCTCTCCACACCCAAGCGCTCCGCCCTCAGCTTCTCGACTTCTCGGGCCATCGAAGCCAGGTTCTTATCCAGCACTTGCCTCTGCTCCAACTGGTCGGTGTTTGCTTTCTTCTCATACTCGTAAGCCGTTCTGGCTCTGGCCAGCTCCTGGTGCAGGCCTTCGATCTCCAATCTGAGTGAAGGTGTCTGCTGGTTCTCAGCCTGAATGTGTTTGAGCTCCTTTGACATGTTCTGCACATCACTGGAGAGCTCTTTCCGCAGATTATCGAGCTTCTGAGCTTCAGATTTTAACTGTAAAAACTCGGCCCTGAGAGGCTCGAAGCCTAGGAGCTCTTTCTCGAGCTTCATGCCTTTTTCGATCAGTTCCCGGGTCTGAGCCTCTTTATCAGAACGAATCTTGGGTATCAACTCACCAAGTACATGGAGTTCCTCTTTCGCGGCAGTTATTTCCCTCCTAAATGCAACATTTTCTTCGACGAGTAAATGGTTATCAGCACGAAGCCGACGGATCTCATCACGGCGTATAGCGATCTCTTCCTCGATGGGGTGGAGAGGAACAGGAGCATGTCGCCTTGTTGGGTGTTGGAGGCCGTCATAAAAGCCTCGTGGATCCTGGTGACGAGGAAAACGGTTCCTCCCTGCCATATCTAAGCATGGAGAGAAATATAGTACAATCTTTATGATAAGCAAGCTAAACATAACATAGAAGGTTAAGAAGAAATACATTTCATTTGGTGAATATCGAGATGAATTGCATGATCAATGTTAGAGTTATAAAAATAAAATTCTAGCATTCTTTAACATTATGCAAAGATTTATGTCTTGTACCCAAACATCGTTGTTTTGAAATCTCATCGCTAATTGATTCATTAGAGGTCAAGGATAAGATTTTGGAATGAGCTGAGCTATATTTCACCAAAAATACTATCGGAGGCTACCTAAATATTGGGCATTAAGGCAAGTTAGAGCATTCGCTTGTGCGACTATCAATTCACGCGAAAAACTGAATAACATCTAATAAAGAGTAAAGCCTATGAAAAATAGGCTTGTTATGTAAGATTCAAGTATGGTTGAAGTTGAACAAATGAAGAAATGCTTAAACAACCTTCTTTTAAAAGTGTTTTAGGTGTAGAAAATAATTTAAGGTTACAATCTAGATATGTATCTAATGATTTTGAATCAAATTCAGCACATACTTTAGACAATACTCTAAGAACTTAAATCTACACATGGTCAAACGTCAATATGAAATTTGAAATCGAAATTAACCCTATAATCAAATCAAAAGCAGAACATCTAATAAGAATGGAATCTATTTCTGAATAAGGAGATTAACCAAGCATATATGATATAGTTAATGAAGCAACTAAGCAATCTATATATTTTTTAATTATCTATTTATATTGTTCTTGTGATGAGTAATTAAATAGATGCCTTTATTTTTGTTCATGATTAAGTGAAATAATTTCATATGAAAAAAAAAAAACTATATGACAATATTAAATGACTTCAAGAATTCCTCAATAATAAATGCCAAGAAAAAAGGCTGAAATATAGACCTTCGTCCATGTAGTCGGGCCTAAGAGTCCTTAGCTCATCAAAACTAATATTTTAAGTCCTTAGAAATAATATTATTAAATGTTGTTTGTCCATATATGCACACCATAATTTTATGGTTAACCTACTTTTTATTCTGTTATCCTCTCATCTTCTACTAATAAGTTCTTAGTCATTAGTAGTACCCCATAGACATAGATTAATTTCAAGATATTTTATTATTGGTCTCATATCATTGCGTAATTTGCAAGCTTAGCAAAAATTGTAAGAGAGCATTCACAAAAAAATTTTGATTTTTGGCGATGCTTGTTACTTATACCTTGTAATAAAGTCGTGGTGCATTTCAATTCAAAAAAATTGGTTTCTTTGGATGCAATGATTTCATGGCCTTCCAGATATTTACGTCTGATAATTGTATTATGGGAGAGCTTATAAGAGGTAAATTTTGTTCCTGGTGGTTTTGGCTTTGGCTAAAGGTCCTTAAGAGATTATAACCTGCAGGTTTTAAAAGATACCTCTAAAAATTTACACAGAATCAAGCTTTGGATATGAAATAATCATATCTACTAATCTAAAGATGAAAATTCTATGAATAGATGAACCGACGAATGCAGCCAAATATCTTTAATTTAATATTTTTTTATTCTAATTCAATCATGTGATACGTGATTCATTCGAGTGAAGGACAAGTACAGCTCACTGATTCTAGTGAATGTATCTTCTTGTATCAACATGAGACATGCATTTCTTCACTTAGGACGATCTCTTTTCTTTATCTAATTTCTTCAAAATATTTTGTTATTGGCTTATCAAAGTTCAAAGTTGATATAAATAACCTTTCAAAAGAAGCATGCAAATTTAATTATTTGTAGATTTTTTATGGATCAAATTTCACATTTCTTCTTCGCATTAAATCAATTAATTCATTTTCGCCTGGGTTCTAATTCCTGTATATATTAGGTTGCACTTTAAATAGTGAATTTATGCATATTTAATGACCTTTGATATGAGAAAGCCTATTTCTTCTAGTGATCTATATTTCTTTTATCATCCTAGTTGCATTAAGAAATCTAGAACATAAATTGCAATTCATCAGCAATCTTTTTCAGGAAGAAGTTACTAAGACCTAGGAGTGTCCGATTTATTGAAAGCATATCACAGGTTGATGCTCATCCAGCCCACACCATAGTTAATGAATCATCTAGTTGAGTTTGAGCAAGATAGCCTTTAACTAAAATAAAAATATTTTATTTTGAGTCGAAGCAAAAACAATCGATTCTGAGCCAATTTTAATCAAAATAACAGAAGACACGTATAAAGGGAATCAAGTTTAATCAAACTAAGTTTAGGTGAGCCAAGCTTTAGTGGAAGCAAATTGATTCCAATTTTGAGTATGATAAGTGATTATCTAACGAGTTTAAAATGAAGAACAAAATTGCCAGCCATAAATGTAAATGGCCAGTAAAATTCATAGCTTCCCCAACTTATTCCAGAAAAAAAATAATCATATGCAAATGACCTGAGGGATTCAAGCCTCTATCTCAACCGTTCTTCTCCACAAAATAAACCACGAAAGCTTATTCATGGTTCAGATAACATATTCAATAATCAACCAAAATATATAGGTTAAACTGGTTAAAAGGCATTCAGCATAATGCAAATAACTAAAATAGTCAAATGACTAGTATCAAGGAAATCGCCAACACTAACAACAAATTTTATGTTGATTCAGGGACAAGGTGGCCCCAGTTATTAAGATTATTGATCCTAGTTTTATGGAAGAAAAACTGCAGGCACTTCTCCTAAGCACTGGTGTTTTCAATTATTTTCCCCTTTGTTCTACGACCAGATTGATATAGGGATTGTGTTAGGGAAACAGCCAATAAGGTAAAGACAGATGGTGGTGAGGATGCAAAAACAAGGTTGAAGCCAGCTGGGTGGTCAATTTTAATTTATTTGCCGAAACATCCTCTCTAGCCGTCATAAGGCATCGACATTATTATTAATGTTGTTATTAACCTCACCCAACTATTTGAGCCCAGCTTTCTAATGTGAAAAATATTGGATCAGGTTGCCCTGTGACTAGTTTCCTGTAGAACAGCTTTAAAATGATAACATGTGGCATTTAAAAATACAAATCATGTATTTGATTACATCTCCATCTCATAATTTATACGGAAAGCAAAAACATCAATAATAATTTTGAAGGTCGGATATTAAATTTTGAAGACTTTTTTGCCCAAAATATTATGATTTTAACACACTAAACAACATAGGGCATTTACAATAATTTCAAATATCGAATATTAAATTGTGAAGATATTTATATGAAATATAGAGACTCGTGATGATGTCATAAAAGTTCAGAACTTTTTTATTTCCACAAGCAAGTGGCATGCCATGCTTCATCAGTTTAAAACAATCCTAAAAGAAAATGAGTTGGGACATCCTGAAACTTCTTTTCCCTTTGAATTCATGTTCCTCATTCATGCATGTTGAGTGCCACAGGTGCTCTTAAATCTAATTTATCCATGATTAGCAAATTTTATCCAAGTTACCTTTGTTGACCTCTTTTTATCAAATGCCCTTCACGAGAGTTTAAACTGCTTAGGCTATGAGTGCATCTTTTGGTCAACAATGCAAATGCCAAAAACACAAAAAAATTATTATTATTATTATTATCTTTTGCAACCCTAGGCAAATAGATTAACTCCAAAAATTCTCTCTAATTATAACAATATCAGACTACGATTCCCAGAATAATGATATTTTTACAGTTTCTCATTTCCGCCGGCCATAAATTAGTATCCACTGATTTCTTTAATGGTCAACACTTAAACCTACACATCATACCAGCTAGGATTATTGCTTTAAATAATTTATTTCATGTGATATTCTCTCATGATGGAGTACCCAAAGTACGTCTCCAATCTCCATTTTATCCATCAACTATTACTCTGGAAATTATATCCAAATTTATATCCCATTTTTTTGTATAATGGAACAAGGATGTTTGAACCTAGCAAACCTATAGATCACTCAACTCCCTATTTTATTTGAGTTTTTTTTTATATTTTATCCGGTAAAATTGTTCATCATACACATTGTTTCAAATAATTAATACTAAACTCTCTATCCTGTAAAATCCTCATTCTCCTAATCCTTCATTTATTTCAAAAAAGTCTTACTTCTAAGGGTTATATCACTAGTAAAAAGTGAAACATGAAGCTCTCTCTTTTTTATTTGATTTTATAAACAGTTCCATAACTAACACGAAAACAAAAGAATTGATCTTGGTTTAAGATAGCCAATCTAACCTGTTTCTCAATTATTCAAGTGCTAATTTTCATAGAATATGTTAATCTAAATAATCCATCAATCCAGATAAAAAATTTTATTTTAATTTTTTCATGCATATAAATTGATTTATCATTATAAATAGAAAGCAAAAAAACAAATAAAGGTGGGTCTTCTGTCCAGGCCATTAAGTTAAATGAGCTCTGGAATCCTTTCATGCTTGGCTTAATTAGTTCTTCAACGAGCGAAATTAAGCAAGGAATTGACATGAACTTAGAATTATTCACAAACATAGAACTGAAGGGTAAACCCTAATTAGCCAATGGCATTCATCAACAATTTAAACCCTTAATTTATAGGTCAAATAGGTACAGTTAAAGGATACACTAATGCAGCATTCTCATAATCAGAGTAATATTTTTTATCTCATTTTATCAGATTGCACTTTGCTTGAAAGAATAGATGATTGTTAATTCACTGCTACTTATTTGCTCTAGATTGTAGAAGCAAATGGACAATCATGCCTTCAAAAGTGATTGTTCATTAAGATTTGTATTTTTTGCAATAATATGATTTTCTTAAATATTAAATATGAAACATCATCTTCTTAAAAAGTTCATGATTAAGGTTACATAAAGTGCTAAATTGTTTTCTTAAGAAAAAGCTAAACAAGAAAACTTACAATTAATAAAAGGGAAAAAGAATTTTACATAAAGAAGGTTAACTATACTATGTTCAAATCTTTCACCATTCAATCCAAGTGACCTTTGGTCTCCCTCTTTTTCCTTCCTAC